CCCCAAAACCCCAAAACCCCAAAACCCCAAAACCCCAAATTAGCTCTAACCAGTTGAACGAACAAATACTATATACTCAACGGAAAATTTGCAGTTTGAAGCACTATTTCTCCAGTAAGTTTAATTTCCTCTAGTTAAACTAACAAGACCTTATTTCCCTCGATTAAGGATTAAGTTTTAGCAGGCAACTTTTATTTAACTCTGTTAAAATCTGAATAAGCTCTCTTTCACTACATTTAGATTTGGGTTTGTGCGATGGAACTCTCACAATCAGGATCTTCCACTTCCATTTCTTTTGCAAGGAACTCTTTGAAGCGCTCCTCGTCAATGTCATCAAGATCTATATAAAATGTATCAAGATTATAATTCATGAGACAAATTAGCTGTAATTTGTCAGGATAGACAACAGAGTTGTATGAGGGAAGACTAAAATCTCTGTCGCTCTCTAATATCGAGATCAAGTAACGATTATTTCGAGCATTTGGCAGAAGTTAAGGTTCTTACCTTCCTGAGCATCTTCATTACCGTTAGAACTGTACTTTTTAAAAGCTTTCTTCGCATAATAGATGGCAGTAGTTGCTAAACCAATTATCACTTTGGTTTACCTAAATCTCCATAATCAATTTCATTTTCCTGTTTATTGTAAATAGCTCTGAAATATTCACTCTGATGGGTCAAAATACACTTAAAAACAGTTTGGAATTGGGAGTAATTCAGGCTAGAAAACACCTGAGAGGTATCTTTGCCATTATACTTGCTCTCTTCATCATATTTAATAGAGTATCTGAGGTACTGGTCCAACATTTCGTCCTTGAGAATGATATTGAGATATAGAAACAAGGCCTTTAGCTCTTCATAACCTATTTTATTCTTAGCATCGACATCAAATTTGTCAAATACTTCCTTTCCTTTAGCTTCTTCATGAGCTGATAGCTCATCTGTTGATCTAGGGTATCCTATAATTTCGATGGGTAAAAGGTACCTGGCTTGAAGATCTTGGGCAGCTAAAGTGTCATCATGAAAATTACCTTTTTTATTATGACCAAATCCATTTTATTTCCTTTTAAATTATTCTATGATTATAATAATTTAAGGGGTTTTGGGGTTTTGGGGTTTTGGGGTTTTGGGG